ACAGGACTTTGAGACCCCTGTTATTCAGGGCATGATAAGTAAGTTCAATTAAAAAAAAAAAGGTGGTATCCATAAGTCACCCGACCAACATTTATTGAATACCCAGTGTGTACCGGGTGCTGGGCATTTGGTCGTGCTGTCCCGAGATGCTTGCTCATGAGTCCGTCAGATAACAGAGTACTAAGTACGAAATGACTAACACTAACGACGACAAGGTCATCTTCGATGTTTCCCATTTGTTTTCTTTTCCTGTAAATAAAGCTCCAGCCTCAGCGTAAGGTGATCCCGTTCTCATCCTGGTTTTGCTGTTAGTGTTTTACGTGATCTTGAACGACTCACTTAATTACTCCATTGTCCATTTTGCCTACTTTAAGACCAAACATCATACTTCCCATGACCTCACAGCATGAGATATTGTGATGAGCTCATTTATGGGGGAGGTTTCAGTTTCCGGAGTGGTATAAAAGCTTATAATGCTGTTGATATAAAATCACTTTAAAAACCTTCACTTTCCGCAGCTTCAGAAATCTCAGTCCCCTGGTGCACTGTAGTCACCTAATTATAATGACATGGAATGGGGGGGCAGCCACGTGTGGCACTTGTTTTCCTTCCCTGGAGGGGGCTTTGAAGAAGATAATGGCCTCTCTGCAGTTGTTGACCCCCCTGGGAAGGAGCATGGATGGTGGTTTCTGATTGTGGCTTTAAGACCCAGCCACCGGTAGGTGTGGTCATTGGAGACTCCGTGGTGAACATGTGCCTGGTGGATACGGAGTAATACAGACAGGGTTCAGAGCCTGTGGGCTCTGGGGTAGAGAAGCGGGGTTCCCGGCTGCATGTGTCTGACCCGTCTGGTGACATAAAGCCATGGCTCTGCGTGTGTGCAGTTGAGGTCCCTGGGTGCACATGCATGTGCACACACATGGGGTAGGCACGGGAAACATTGTGAGGGGTGAGAGGAGGCCAGAGAAGGCAACCAGGCTTACTGGGGCGTCAGGCTGCAAGGAATAATGCTGATTAGCACAGATCATACTGATGAGCTCGTTTCACGGCTGCCCTCTGTGAATTAGCGGGTGTATCGGCACCACATCTCTGTTTCTGAACTGTTTTCTTTTTAAAAAATTGTTAATGGTTTGATTGTAATCCCAGGACAGTTAACATATAGTGTTCTGTGAGTTGCAGGTGTACAACACGGTGACTCAACACTTCCGTAGGTCACTCGGTGCTCACTACAGCAGGGCTCTCCTTAATCCCCGTCCCCTCTTTCCCCTATCCCCCCACCAGCCTTTCCCTGTGACCCGCCAGTTCTCTCGAGTCTGTTGCTTGGTTGGCCTCTCCCTCTCCTTCCTTCCCCTTTGCCCAGTTGTTTCTTAAATTCCACGTGTGACGGAAATCACATGGTATTTGTCTTTCTCTGACTTTCTTTGCTCAGCATAATGCTCTCCAGCTCCATCCATGTCATTGCAAATGGCAAGATTTCATTCTTTTTTATGGCCGAGTAATATTCCTCTGTGTGTGTGTGTGTGTGTGTGTGTGTGTGCGCGCGTGCGCGCGCGCGCATGTGTGCATATCCATACTACATCTTCTTTATCCATTCGTCTGCACACTTGGGCTGCCTCCATCGTTTGGCTGTTGTAAATGAACCAGTAGACCCTGGGTGCATGTAGTTCCTGAACTGCTTTCCACACATTGTGGCTCCCGCTGAGAATGGTCCTCTCCATGAAGACGCATAAATACTGCACACAAGAGGACCCTTTGAGCATTTCCTCTCTAACCTAGAACATTGCTTATCTTAGAACAGTCCAGATAAAAATATGATATATTAACATATTTTCTTTTTTTAAAAATATAATTTATGTCAAATTAGCTAACATACAGTGTGTAAAGTGTGCTTTTGGTTTTTGGAGTAGATTCACACGATTCATCATTTCCATACAACAGCCAGTGCTCATCCAAACAAATGCCCTCCTCAATGCCCATCACCCACTGTCCCATCTCCCCCACCCCTCCCATCCACTCTCAGTTTGATCTCTGTATTTAAGTCTCTTATGGTTTGCCTCCCTCCCTCTCTGTAACTATTTTCCCCTTTCCTTCCCCCATAGTCTTCTGTTAAGTTTCTTAAGATCCACATTTGAGTGAAAACAAATGATATCTGTCCTTCTCTGCCTGACTTATTTCGCTCAGCATAACACCCTCAAGGTCCATCCAGGTTGCTACACATGGCCAGATTTCATTCTTTCTCATTGCCATGTAGTATTCCATTGTATAGATAAACCATATCTTCTTGATCCATTCGTCATTGATGGACATTTAGGCTGTTTCCATGTTTTGGCTATTGTTGAAAGTGCTGCTATGAACATTGGGGTACATGTGCCCCTATGCATCAGCACTCCTGTATCCCTCGGGCAAATTCCTAGCAGTGCACATATTTTCAACAAGCACCTAGAACAGTGCCTGGCACATAATTAGAATTTAGAGAAGTGTTTGCTGCTGTTATTAGCATTCTATCCTATTTATTCATTCATTCACTTGCTGAGTGTGAGCTTCAGGTATCTAGGCCCTGAGTTGTTTGCTTTGGAAGCCCAGGGGTAGATCACACAAAAATCCTGCCCTCAGGAACAGAATATTCTGGTAGGAAAAATAAGATGAGCAAATACATAAATATGATGGCGTGCAGAAAATGATCTATCTCTAAGAAAAGTCTAGATGGAGCTCTTGGGGCTGAGCAGAAGTAGGAGAGGGCTTCTGGAGGGTTCGAAAGGAAGACAGGGTAGGGGGAAGGGGTACCTGAGTTCCATCCGCCTGGATGGAAAAGGTGCAGAGACGCAGCTGAACCAGGTGAGATGCTTTCCGGGTAAAGTGAGTGGGAGGCACACAAGCAGAAAATAGCATATTTAAGAGAGAAAATATAACTAGTTTGCTTTGTCTGATGGAAGGCTGTGTTTTGAACACGTGTTTTGCGTCATCTCCAGAGTTCACGTGCCCCATATTTTTTCATGTCTTTGCCCTTCAATTAAGTTCAGCAGATTATAATAAGGAGAGGCCATTACTAACACGATGCAAATGGCTTTGTAATTATAGCTGCTGCCAAATGTGTAATCTATCTGTTCTTAATTATTAGGGTTTTTATTTTTCTAAACTGATTGCCTTCTGGTCTAAAACTTCCTTAATAGGATGCAAATAGGGGCCAGGAAGCAATATAAATCTAGCAGCCTGGTTTCCTCTGCATTCTCCAATAAATCACCCACGCGGACTGCCCTGTGGTGGCTTGGTACACCTTGGGAGGCGCGTCATTTGCCTCCGAATAGATCGGGGCTGCCTCACATCCCCTCAGCCTTGCAGAGTGTGAAACTCAAATGCTGGGTTTATGGTAGCTTTCTGTTAAGACCCGCACGGCGTCATGACTCCTTTTCTCTTTTCTTGACAGTAATCCCACCATCGACTTATGGTAAAGTACTCTGCCTTTGGCATTTTAGCTTCATCCACCTAACAGCTGGCTATGCCCCTACCCCGTGGTGTGGGAGGAGCTCGGGGTTCACTAATGAGTGGAGCTGAAGCTGTTGGGAAGTCTCTTCCTTTTCGCGCCTCAGTCAGCACATCCATCCAGTGGGGGTGTTACTATGCACTATAGAGAAATCACAGCTTTGTACTTTGGAAACACTTGTTCTGTGTAAGGTATTTTAAGATACCAGGTTCTAAATTCATGAGGATAAGTTCTTAAAATAAGATTGTCTCACTTAGTGAGACAGTTCTCACTGGAACAGAATAATTCTGTTTTCCTAATGCATTTGAAGCTTGAAATAATCACCCAACAATGAGAACGAATATAAATGGATATCCATAGCATAAAAAGGCCACATAGGGCTCAACAGCTTATAAACCTGATTGCAAATAGCTGTAAGGCCCAGAACAGTCAGAGACAAACAGCATATGTGCTCAATAATTATTTCTTGAATGAATGAGTGGGGTTTTTTTTTCCTTCTGGAGAACAATTATGTTTAGATTAAATAACGATTAAATAGAGCAAAGCGTTATAAAGTGAGTGTTTATTACGGGATTTCGAACTTCTTTACATCTTATAAGCTGCATACTATGTTTTAAAGTAGTACCGGGGAGTCTGGGGGGCTCAGTCGGTTAAACATCTGACTTTGGCTCTGGTGGTGATCTCACAGTCGTGCGCGCAAGCCCTGCTTCCGGTGAGCATGAACCCCACTTCGAGTGAGCTCTGATTCTCTCTCTGCCCCTTGCTCACTTGTGCCCTCTCTCTCTCAAAATAAAATAAAGCAAAATAAAATAAAATAAAATAGTACATACTCAAGTACATTCTTGAATGAAGTATTTTCATATGTGCTCTCTCTATATATGTTATCTACCTATACTATTCTCTCCCTATATTTTTTCTCCCTATATATAACTATATATAGTCTATAAATGTTCTTTCTGTATATACACGCTATATATATTCTCTGTGTGTATATATACACTCTGTATGTATATGCTCTATGTCCTTTTACTATGTATATATATTCTATGTATGCGGCGTTTTCTGAGACATTTAACAGTGCCACAAAAGGTTTTGTTTAGATTGTGAATCCTAGGCCAAGGTGCTCTTGGACCCGGGTGCCTGCTTATCTGAACTGAGAGTGTAGTTTTGAGGAGAAAAGAGCCGGAATCAGTCTCCTAAATCAGAGCCAGTAATATCCCCGCCCCCACCTTCGCTGGTGTCATACGGTCACCCATGCGCAGGGTCCTGAGCATCAGATGTATCGCAAATGTAGAGGAGACCCCCACGGAAAAAGCCCAATGTGCTCTATAAGTGGTATCGCTGATGACTGCCGGTAGTAGATCGGAAGCGCCCTTTCCACGTGTCTCTCCTTTGCTTCCGGGGTGTCTCGTTTGGCGTGGCTCGCGGAAACCCAGAAGCAAGACACGGGTCCTGCGCGGCCCGTGAGCTCGCTGGCTGCGACCGCAGCGCTGATGGGTTTGTGTGTTTGCTCCTCCAGCTCTACGTGGCCACGGAGGCCATCCTCATCGCCCTGGTGGGGGCCACGCCTTCCTACCACTGGGACCTGGCGGAGCTCCTGCCCAATCAGAGCCACGGCAACCGGTCGGCGGCTGATGACCGCGCCCTGGGGGCGTGGCTGCTGACCGCCAACCGCAGCGAGGTCCGGAAGCACGTGCAGTTCAGCGGCAGCTTCACGTCCATCGCGTCCGAGGTAACGCTGGGCGGCCCCTCTGATCACCGCCTGCGCGTTGCCGCTGGTCCGCACGGAACCGCGCTTCTGTCGTGTTGATGTGAATGACAGCCACCCCTTCAGACAGCTATCTGGTACATTGGAGGGTGTCAAGGGGGATACTCTCCTTCCTTCTTGCTGCAAGCAGGGAGAGCATGAGCCTTGCCAGACTGTCTGCCAGGGGATGAACTCGGAGGGGCCACCTCGCAGTTACAGTGTCCTTTTACCATTCATTCATTCATTCATTCATTCATTCATTTAAGTTTTTAATTTTTATTTTTGAGAGAGAGCAAGACAGAGCACAAGCAGGGGAGGGTCAGAGAGAGAGGGAGACACAGAATCTGAAGCAGGCTCCAGGCTCTGAGCTGACTGCACAGAGCTGGACATGAGACTCTAACTTCATGACCTGAGCTGAGGTCAGACGCTTAACTGACTGAGCCACCCAGGCACCCCTACGGTGTCCTTTTAAAAAGTGAACCAAAGCTTCCATTTCTTTTTCTTACATACACAAAAATTAACCACGTCAAGAGAGAGGAACGTGGTGAGCATCTCCAACATCCACAGTTCATGTGTCCCATCCAGTCCTGTGTGTAGACCACATGGGGCCCCTAGACTGTACAACAGACTGCCCCAATACAGATGGAACCCCCCCGCCCCTTGTGCAGGGCAGGAAGCCTCATGTTCCAGGGGGCTTGTGGCCAGGGTGGTCCTGCTGAGGACAGCACCTTCTGAGCTGACCCCAGGTAATAAGCTGAGAGCACATAGTCCGGTGAAGAGGAACCCTGGTCCAAGAGGGGCAGGGCGCATGCTCAGCTGGAGGGCAGGTAGCTGGAGAGCAGGTGTGCTGACACTTAAACACTTGAAACAGTCCTTTGCCTGCTCCCCACAAGCCTCGCCTGGCCTCGTCCTTGGACCTGGTGATCCAGTAAGCATAGGGTTAATGCCTGGTGGGCATTGCTGCTCTCTGTGTGGACTGTCATGCCAGTCAGCTGCCCCCAAATCCTTTTGGCTGCCCCCAGCCCGGTTACCAGAGTGCTTTCCGATGCCCTCCATCCCTTGCCCACCCTCCTGTGTGCGTGCGTGCGTGCGTGCGTGTGTGTGTGTGTGTGTGTGTGTCTCACCATGGCATCGGCCAGTCTTAACCTGTTGCTGACTATTCTGAGAATCACCCTTTGGATGACACGTGCCAGAAACAGAAGAGACATGAAGGCAGTAGTGGCTTGGCCTTTCCTTAACAGTTTCCCTTCAAAGCCGTAATCATCGGGTTGGTGTTCTGAGCTCCTGCCAGGTAGTGTATTTCTCTGACAGCAGTGTAGTCCTGTCACCCCTGATTCTGAACCCCCACTGATTCCTCCCACTGTGCACAGGAAACTGTGGAACCCACTTAGGGTGTTACATTCGATGCCCTTTACCCTCCACAGCTGGGGCCTGGGTGCACTTTTGCAGCCCCTTGCCTCTGCCTCCCCTCTTCCCCGCCCAGACCCTGAGTGCTTGGCCTACCTGTTACCGCGGTGGGTAACTCACCTTGGAATCCCCTGACCTGACCCTTGCGTCCACCTGGTGACATCCTAACCAACCCTCTAGTGCTCACCTTGACCGTCCCCTTCCCTGCCACGTCCAGCCCAGCCCACTCCCAGAAGAAGTAAATACACTCGCTTCCTCTCCAGTAACATTGTGTTTGCACTCACGTCACAAACCGTAGTGTGTGGTTCGACTCTGCTTCTTCTGAAGTCGTTTGAGGTCAGAAACCATATTTTGGTCATCTTTATACCTCTGTGGCCTACTAGCAACTATTACTGTCCCCGCAAGTGCCAACTGAGGACCACCACTGCTAACCTATTGAAACAGCAAGTAGCGTGGGATGGTGAGCCTGCACCAGGTGTTGTGATGCACGCCCCAAACCCATGTAACCTTCAAAATGATTGTATGACGTCAACATCATTTTCTCCATTTTACATGTGAAGAAACAGATATCTTAAGGTCAGCTCAGCTTATAGGGTCAGAGCTAGATTTCAACCCTAGTTTGTCTTAACTCAGAGGCCTGTACACTAACTTATTGCACTTTTTGGAAACCTATTCAATCCAAATCGGTATGTACATCTCTTAGTTCTTTCTAATAGATAACGATAGCTAAGGAGCTTAAATTTTTTTTTTTAATTTGGAAATAATTTCAGACTGGCAAATTTCAAGACTCATACAGAGAATAAATACTCTTACAGCCTTTCATTTCACCTATCTTTACCATCTCAGTTTTTTTTTCTAGGCCGTTTGACAGTTCCGTATACCATACCCCTCTTCTTTTATGCCCAAATACTTCTGCATGTACTTCCTAAATGTAAAGGAATTTTCTGACATAACCACAGGACAGTTACTAACTTCTAGACATTTAACATTGGAATGCGTGGGTGGCTCAGTCCATTAAGCGTCAGACTTCGGCTCAGGTCATGGTCTCACAGTTCGTGAGTTTGAGCCCCGTGTCGGGCTCTGTGCTGACAGCTCAGAGCCTGGAGCCTGCTTCAGGCTCTCTCTGCCCCTCCCTTGGTCATGCTCTGTCTGTCTGTCTCTCTCTCAAAGATAAACATTAAAATATTTTTTAAAAAAGAAATTTAACATTGATTCTGTATTTTAATCTACCATCCATACCCAGTTTTGTCACTTGACCCAGTACTGCCCTTGCTAGCACTGGGTTCCCCCTCTTATACCCAGTTCTGTTTTAGGGTCACATGTTACATTTAGTTGTCATGACTCCTAGGATCTTTTCACCTTCAGCCTCTTCCCTTTATGACATTGATACTTTTGAAGAGGACATACCCCCTCTCTTATTAAAAATAAGGATGGTCTTCATGTTGGGTCTGTCTGATGATTTCTCATGAAGGCTACACATCTGAAGTCAGAATAGTAGTAAATAATGTGTCCTTCTGGATCATGTACACTATCCATCGGCCCCTTCTTGTGTTAATTTCGATCATCCACTCCAGGTATTGCTTGATTTCTCCCCTGTATAGTTAATATTCTTTTCCTTTCCAGGAATATGGAATCTATGGAGAATCCCTTCAAGATTATGCAGATGCACTATTCCTTATCAGAACCCCCCCACCCCAAATTTAGCACCTTTTCATGATGCTTTTGTAAACCAAGCTAAGACCATGATGGATGCAAAATGATGATTCCTTTACTCATTTTTGCCACTTGACATTCTGCCTTTTTTTTTTTTTTTGAAGTATAATGGACCCCTAACACTGTATTCCTTTCAGGTGTAGGACACAATGACTCAATGTTTGTACGCCCTGCAAAATAATCATCAGGGTAGGTCTCCTTAACACCATCACTGTACATAGTTACAGAATTTGTTCTTGTGATGAGAACGTTTAAGATGTCTTCTCTTATTATCTGTAGTCACCATGTTGCACATTACGTCCCCAGGGCTTACTTATTTTATAACCTCATTTTACCCAACTCCCAACCCCCGCCTTTGGCAATCACCAATCTGTTCTCTGTATCTATAAGCCTGTTTTTTGGGTTTTTGGTTTTCATTTCTGTTCTTCTTCTTCTTCTTCTTCTTTTTTTTTTTTAGACTTCCATGGCATTCTGTTTTTAGCTGGAAGCAAAGCCCCTTCTTTTCCCTTGTCCATCTGTAGGCCTGTCTGTCTGTCTATATCTAACTCTATGTATCTACTTATATGTCTATCATTAGTATGTATTTATAGGCCCCTGTTCTTAATTATTTATAATTTTTAACCGTCTTTAATTATTTTGATGCTCAATTTACCAGTGAGAATCTCTTCAAGCTGTCCTTGAGTCCTTTTAAAAATATTTATTTGTGTGTTTATTTATTTATTTGTTTTAGAGAATGTGCAAGCAGTGGAGGGGGCAAAGGGAGAGAGAGAACCCCAAGCAGACTCCACGTTCAGCATGGAGCCCGACACAGGGCTCCATCCCGTAACCATGAGATCATGACCTGAGCCAAAATCAAGAATCCGATGCTTAACTGACTGAGCCAACTTGGCACCCCTCTAATATTTTTTTAATGTTTATTTTGAATATGTATTGGATTTTGTCAAATAGAGCAATTTGCAGTGTTCTACATCAGTTGCAGTGGTTATGTTATTTTTTTCCCCACCTTTTCTTTGGTAGATTGTCCTGACTGACTTTCAAATATTGAACCAGCTTTGTGCCTCCTGATGACATATTCTCTGTATATATTGTTGAGTTCTATTTGCTAATATTTTGTTAAGGATTTTTGCTTCTGAATCCTGAGGGATTTGATCTGTTGTTTTCTTTTCTTTTCTTTTTTTTTGGACCTTTGTCTGATTTTGGTACCAGGGTGACATTCACAAAATGAAGTGGGAAGTATTCCACTCTTTTCTGTTTTCTGGAAGTGATTGGGTAGAATTGGTGTTCGTTCTTTAAATATTTGGTAGAACTCTCTAGAAAAATCATCTGGGCTTTTTGTTGTTGCTATTGTTTTAGTTTTATTTTTTGACAGTTTTAAAATTATGAATTCAGTTTTCTTGAAGGTTATACAGCTGTTTAAATGATTTATTTTGTATTGTGAGTTGTGACAGTTTGTGCTTTTCAAGGAATTAGTCCATTTCATCTAAGTTGTCAGATTTATGTGTGTCGAGTCGTCCATTGTATTACTTTATTATTCCTTTGATGTTTGCAGAATCTGAAATGAAATCCCCTCTACTATTACCTGATATTGGTAATTTGTGTCTTCTGTCCTGTTTAATTACTTGTTAGTCATATAAGCTTGTCAATTTTACTGATCGTTTTAAAGACAGCATTTTGTTCATTGATTTTTCCCTATTTTTTTTTCTATTTTTAGTTGTATTGATTTCTGTTCTTGTCTTTATCAGTTTCTTTCATATGCTTGCTTTGAATTTCTTTTTCTCTTTTTCTTTTTAAGGTTATAGAGTTGGTAGCCTAGATTTTTAATTAGTTGTCTTCTTTACAAATGTAAGCATTTTAGTGCTGTAAGT